GAAGAGAGTCCTCCACCCAAAGCAGCCAGGGGGCCTCCATTAGGCCGGCCAGAGGACCCTTCTCAGACTGCAGTTCCGAGGACTCTGGGAACAGCACCTGCCTCACCATCACACACATCAGAAGCTTCGGGGAGAGACAGCAAGGAAAGGGTGGCCCCAAGGACCTTGATTCAGTGGTGGCGGGAGCTGAGGCACGAGGTACACAGCTGCCATCCAGCCTGGTCCCGGGAGCCCACATCAAATCCAATGGAAGCCTGGGCAGTATCTACTTGGACCAGCTGGCTCCAGAGGCCATAGGGCTGGCTTGTAAATGGGAGTGAGCCTGAGTGGGCTTCAAGTTGGAACTGTGTGGGTGCCAGCAGTGTGAGCTTGGCGTCTCTTCAACGTGAGCCTTCATCTCTTATCTTGAAATGGGGATGCTATGAGTTACTTAATTCCCAGGCACCTGGGCCTCACGACACTACCTTCCCCTGCATGGCGCTTCTCCTGGAAGCCTAACCCCCACCCTCTTCTTTGGCAGTGTGACCTCCTCCTCTCAGGGCTGCCACACTGCCCATGCTGGGGACTCCTGCATCGACATCTCCAACCCACACTTCAGACTGGATGCGTGCATGCGCAGCTTACAAGACACCTCACTGTACGTAAGAGGCTGCACAAATGCACAGCAACGCCCACCTTTCAGAGGCTCGGGCCAAAGCCTACCAGTTGTCCTCACATCTTACTCTTCCACCTCACAAGCTGCAGGCTCAACCGTTACAACTTCCCTTACATAAAGCCGCTTCCCACCTGGTTCCCACTGGAAGCCAGGAGAAGGACAGGACTATTTGTAACGGCTGCTAGGCCCCGTCCAGTCCATTTCATCTCACGTGGCGGTCGGAGCGAGCAGAGCTGCCCCGGAGGGTTTTCTCAGCCGTAATCTTTAAGGAAGGAGATTGCCACGCACCACCAAGACTTAGCACCTCAAAGCATCAGTATTGAGCCTATATGATTTATGCCAAACCAAGGAAAATCAAACCCACATCGAGTGGATGCTGACGCATAGGGAGCTTCCATAAGTTTTCCCACATTTCACATCTTTATAGGAGCAGTCAACTTCATTTGTCTCCCATGGGGTGGCTGCTGGGTTTGAACCACAGACCTTGTGGCTAGCAGCCCAATACCTAACCCACAGTGCCACATCAAGGCTCTTCAAATGATGCCAAGTTCTATGATAATCAATCAGCATTTTTACACCTGACCTTTTAGTTCCCTCAACAATTTTGCACTAAGTTCTGTTACTGTTAGGCTGGCTTGCAAGGCCCTTGCCATCCATACCTCTGACCTGACCCCACCCTTGATAAGTTCACCGTGCTAACTGCGGAACCCGGACATGGTCCAAGAGGCAGCCAAACAATCAGAACAAGGAAGCGCTGCATGTTTTAAAATTGAGAAAAGTGCGTGTCAGGGTTGTATTCTTTCTCACCATAATTATTCAATCTGTACGCTGAGCAAATCATCCGAGAAGCTTAGACTACTTGAAGACGAAGAAGAAGAACAACAAAACACAAAACCCACTGCCAGGGAGTTGATGTCAACTCAGAGACGCTACAGGACAGGGAAGAACTGCCCCTGTGAGTTTCCGAGGAAGCACAGGGACCTGAGGATATGCATGTGAGATAGTTGATTGTGCTAGCCTGGCTGATAAACACAAGTAGGATTAACTGAAGGGCAGAGAGATGGATGGCTTGGTGAGCCTTGCCTTTCTTGTCTCTCGCTCTTTGATCATCGGACCAGTGTGCGGCTGCCTTGCTTGTTCTGTGTCTCAATTTAAAGGCTATACTGCCTGTGGGATGCCTAGCCTGTGGACTGTGTCGCTGTAAGTTGAGGTCCCTTTAAGACTTCTCTGGAGCTGGGGACTGGCAGTTGGTGACCTGCCTTGTGATTGGCTGCTGTGCTGACATAGCCTAGCTCTCCCTACAAATAGAGGAAGATCTGGCAGCAGACTAGACTTGAAGGATTGTTAGTCTCTCAACTTTCTCTTGCGGACGTGAGTTGCACTGAGCCATTTGTGGTGCTTTATAATTTAACTGTTTATTTCTTGTACTATATATTTATCTGTATATGATTTAATAGTTCATTTCTTGTTATATATCTAATTATCTTTATAAATAAATATATTAAATTATCAGCAATTTGGTTTTATCTCTCTAGAGAACCCTGTCTAACACAGCAGATGACACACACACTCGTGTTTCCTGAAAACTAGGAAGACTTTAAGCACCTGTCGATGGAAATCAAAGGTTGCAGTCTCAGAATGGACTGAAACTCGATGTAAAGAAAACCCACATCCTCACAAGTGCACCGGTCAACAGCATCATCATGAATGGAGAAAAGACTGAAGTCTAGAACTTTGTTTTGCTAGTATCCACAATCAATGCTCACGGCAGCAGCAGTCAAGACATCAAAAGACGCCCTGCCTTGGGACGGTGTGCTGCACAGATCTCCTTGAAGTGTGAAGAGCAGACGTGCCTCTCTGAGCACTACGGTGCACCTCGCCCAGGCCATGCTACTTTCCATGGCCTGGATGCGTGTGAAAGTTACAACAATGACTGAGGAGCACTGAAAAGGGCATGTGAATTCTGGTGTTGGTGAAGAACACGGGGATCACCCCACCCACAGCCAGCCAGGAGCTCTCTCTTGGAAGATATACAGCCAGAATGTTCTTTAGATGTGAGGATGGCGAGACTGGGCTCACACAGTCTGGACACGTTCAACTCACTGCTCACCTTGCCTCCGCCCTACCTTTCAGGGCAGAGTAGAACTGTCACGGTGGGGTTCCGGACTGTACATCTTTATGGGAGTAGAAACGCTCCTCTTTCTCTCGGAGTTGTTGCTGGATTCAAGTTGCTAGCCTTGTGGTTAGTAACCCAACACATGTAACGGACTCATCATGACAGCAGCTCCTTCTCAGGAGGGGTGAGTCCGAACATATCGTTTGGTAGAGAGCCCACGAAAAGGGGGACACGGACTGAGATAGCGGCTGCAACAATGAGTTCCGATACAACTGCGAGGATGGTGCAGGACTGGGAAGTGTTTCCTTCTGCTGTCTACAGGGCTGCTGGGAGCTGGAGCACTTAGCAACAACTGTCGTTACCTTTAGCCTGGCCTTTAAGGCCCCCGCCCACCTCTAACCTTACCTCCACCCTTGGCTCAATCTCAACAAGCTCATCTCCACCCCGGCCTTTCCACACCTGAAACGCAATTCCCCTAGACCTGTGCCCGGCTCACCCTTCATTCTACCTTCAAACATCATCCCTTAAGCGAGAGCCTTTCCTGAGGAGTCTCCACCCTGTTTCAGCCTCCCCTGGTGTTCCTGGCTGCCCTTCACAATTTTCATCATCTGAAAAACGTGTCTGGCTTCCTTACCAGGAGATCAGCTCCAGAAAAGGAGGCACAGACCGGTGCCTGTGCCATTCTAGATGGAAGGGGAAGGCGACGGAACAGCCCGTTCATGAGAAATATGACTTCCCTTTTCCTGATGAGAAAGCAAAGCGGCAGCCTCAGCCAGTCATCTATCTGATCAGCACAGCGGGCGGGAGAGCGGGTCTAGAGCTCCCATCTGCTGACTCTGGGCTTTTTTCTGCTTCCACTTTCCAGACCCGCCCTCCAAAGACAGCTTCCAGCCCAAGCTTCCGGACTCTGCCCGGGTCCTCAATAAGCCTGAAGTGGACTGCATTCCTAGACCATTCTCCAAGGCACTGACTGGCTAGGACCATCCATCACTGAAATACTAGACTGGCTTAGGGATTCCTACTCTCTGGTCACAGATAGAGCCCTGGACATCCGTTAAACCCCAGGTCAGGTATCACCTGCTGCCCAGAGTCAATCGTCCCCACCAGTGCACTACTTCCACACCGTGGCCAAGGCTTTTCTTCGTTCTCCTTCGTAGCCTTTTTATTGTGAATCGGTGAGCAGCAGGTAAGCTTTCCAGGCAGCAGTTTCTACACATCTTGTCTCTTGTCACTGACTCCTATCCCGGGACGGTGTGGCAACCCTTATCCCACTTCCTCCCTGTGCTTCCCACTTCCTTCTCCAACCCTCCTGAACTATGAGCTGGGCCGAATGCTGCCCGTTTGACTGCAAAAGATTGGCCTGAGGTTCACTGTGCATATGCATGCCCCTGCCCTGAACAAGATTTGCGTGGCCGCAAAAATCAAGTCATCCCCTAACCAGCTGCTGAGTGTACTTCCTATTGGAGAGCAGATGATCACTGAGGGCGGGACTCATGCCAGCTTGCCTCTTTACCCCATCTCCAGCCCCCAGCTTACGAAAGCAGCAGTCCAGAGATCAAACACTGCTCTGTACTGGTCAACCTGCTGGCCCAGACCTCTTTAAAGTGTTGAAAAGCAAAGAAGCTACTTTGAGGATAAAAGTGAGCCTGACCCAAGCCATGGTATCTTCAATTCCATGATATGAAAGTTGGACCATGAATCAGGAAGGCTGCCGAAGAAGTACTGATGGGACATGTTGTCAGGAGAGACCAGTCCCTAGAAAAAGATGTCATGCTTGGTCAAGCAGGGGGGCGGCAGCACGGAGGCAGGCCCTCCATGAGAGAGACTGACCCAGGCTCAGACACAGCAATCGTGAGGATGATGCAGGACGGGGCGGTGCCTTTAGGGTGAACCCCCCCATCATATACTCTCCTGGAGCCTTGCTGCCTGGCGCAGTGCAGGGCTTCATTATGAATAACACAGTTGAGATTAACTGAGAGAGTAAGAGCCACAAGTGCAAGGGACTTCTGTTCACTGTTACGCCTCCAGGGCTTATTAACAGGAGCCACTCCAATAAGCTAATCCAGGACCTGTTGGCTGATGGATGGATGGAGCAAAGGGCAGGAAGGAAGGCTGATGGCCAGTCACACCCTGTCGAAGTGCAGTGGCCCTGTGCAGCCTCAGCAGGTGGCCATGGCCAACACAGGGCATAGGTGGCATGCTTGTTGCATTCTTGGGCCAGGTGCTCACCTATAGGAGTCCCCATCTCTGTTGTAGTCACACAAAAGGTAATCCTTCCCCACCACTTTGTCTCTGGCGATCTTCAGTGGCTGGTCCACAGAAGACAGGAGATCTTCACACAGGCTGGGGACCTGGCAGAAAGGAAGAAGACAGAAACGGAGGTTAAAACCCACAGCAAGTTCAGCTTGGCAAACAGTTGCTGTAGCGGTATCGTGGTCAGTATTTGTGGCAGACGGCTCCTCAGTCACCTGGGCCCGACACCGATGTGTCCTTAGAAGGAAACCTGCTCCCGAGCGACAGTGGAGCGTGCTTTCCAGTATGGCCTTCTCTGTGGCACCACGCACAGTGCTCATATTGGGAGCCCGGGTGGTCTAGGAAACTCATGTACATGCTTGGTCTTGGTCTCTGCTGGGCAACGTCCAAGCTGCAGTCCGAGAAGAAGGTAAACATCTGAAGTGCACAGGAATCCAAAGAACTCCAAGAAGAACAACCCACCGTGCTGCAGGCCTCCCCTAAGCTCCCACGCTGGGCGGGGTTTCCAGTACTTTCCAGGCACGCGGCCAAGCATTGCCAGGCGGGCTCTCAGAGTTAACCCTACCTGCGGCAAAGGTGGCCTCCCAGGCGTGTTTCATGGCACTGGGTCCTGCTGCTGTCCAGGGCCACGAAGGGTGGAATCCTAGGGCAGACGCTGCCCACCGAGACACAGTACCCCGCCTGAAACCGGTTTTCGGGCTTCCTACCCCCCAATGCAAACATCAGTTTCCACCAAAATATTTCAAAGAGGGATGGCGGCACTTCTAGAAACGGATTCCTGCAGGCCTGAGTCACTTCCAGGCTGTATTTCCAATGTGCTGGCTTATTCATCTCATGGGACTGGATTTCTAGAGGCCCCACCAGACTGCTTACCAGGCGAGTGGCTGCCAAGTGCACACTAACCTTTCCCAGGGGAAAAGTTCTGTCGTCGTGTGGCAAAGACCAGCAGAGGTGTAGTCCAGCTCAGAGCTGACAGCCACAGCAGTCCCTTCTCCTCCAGAAGAGCCCTTTCATCCCCAGGAAGGAGGGCCAGGGAGCTCCGCCACCAGAAACACAACACCCCCCCACCCTGGGTCCCCCACCCCTGCCAAGGCTCCTCAAGCACCTCTGCTAACCACCTAGAGAGAGAGGGTCAGGACTCAGCCCGCAGAGCACCGGGTGGGCACAACTGAAAGACGGCACCCTCTCCTGTAGCTCAGGTCTTTTGGCCTCATTTTTGCCCCAAAAGATACACATACCACCAGCCCCTGCACATAATGGGATTCGTTTCAGAATCCCTTCTCCAGGTACCCTCAGCCTGTAGACAGCCCTGTACAAGGAAGTGCACGTGCAAAGTCAGTTTTAGTGACAATTATCAAACCACTGGCCACCACGATCATGCTCGGCTCTCTACACTCATCCCAGAAGGCTTTGTTACC